ACGGAGGTCGATTTAGTTTGTTGCAATTACGTTTCATCTCTTTCATCTGATGATCGTATGATAATATTAAGACTGGAGCTTCACCACGTTCCATTGAAAAGTGAGCTATTACACCCTCCCGATTTTCTAGACGTTTCATGACAGAAATATACTCTTGTACATTCGAAATATTCGGCCGACGTACATTGTAAATTTGAGTACGATCTCTAACGGAGTTAACCAACGGTGATGATACTGATTCAATATTTTCAGTAGAAGTTTTATAAATAGCTGCTGGGTTTTTTCCTGCTTGTTTCTAGCGGTGAAGAAAGGAAAATCATGGTGATGACATTGATGAAAATTGTCAGCAATTAAAACAAAATATTACTAACCCGTAATGACGACAAAACTGTTGGGACAGTCGAAGTAAACGGTCTCGCTATTTTGCTAGCATTTCCATGAGGCTTGAGACTTAGTTTCTGAACGGATGGATTTTTTCTTGGCCATACGTACTGAACAAATATTGGTATGGATTCAACATTATTCTCTTCATGTTTAGTTGTATAACATCACCAAATTCACCATACCATTTTCATTATATCTTTCAACATTTCACCACCATCGTGTTACACGTTTATATGGTTCTAGGAACTTTCATTCATTCAAAGGTCTTTCGTTTCAGTTTATTTTTCAACAGTTAAACGTTTCTTGAAGGAATGACTAACATTATTTTTTGTTTGTTTATTTTTAGGACCATGATCAATACCAACAACAAGTTGAAAACAAAGATTTAGATCTATCGTCTGGGTCTTCATCCATTGAGAAATCGCAACCAGTTCACCCTCATTAATCAAGAACTCTGTCTGATATTTCCAGTGTATTTTTTTTTGTTCGTTGAAATCCAATAATTTATTTGTAATTAAGACAAACATACTCATATTTTTTGTCTTCGTGTTATTTATTTATAATAATATTTTTGATGGCTTTTTCTTATAGTTATTATATCGATTAGTTTCAGAATGTTTTTCCACAGTATTTGTTGCTAATTTTTGAGTATTTCAGATCACTGACTGACTGATTGGTGTTGAGTGGTATTCTCTACGATTAGTTTACTTTATGTGGATGAGCATCGGTGGTAGTATCCTAAGCACTATTTGAAAGAAGTAGCCTAAAGTTAGAAGTATTTTTCTTTAACCATATGGTTGAAATTAATCTTTCTAACATTGTGATACAATAAAGCAGATAAACAAGATTTAGATCTATCGTCTGGGTCTTCTTCCATTGAAAAATCGCAACTAGTTCACCCTCATTAGAGTAGGGACACCTACTTTAAAATTAGCGTAAATTAGCGACATATTTAGATTCGAGGAGCGAAAACACGTCATTATTACTTTTCTCGACAGGGAAGCATCCTAGATGGGCCAGTCCAAAATAAAAAATGTCATAAATTAAATTGTCCACATTTTATCTGCTGGCACGAATTTCGCTAAGTAGCGAGAAAAATGCTAAATTTTGATAATTAGCATTTCTCACCAAGAAGCACGCAGCTGAGAAATTTGGCTCCTGAGCCAAAAATGTCAGAAATTAAATGCCACATATTTTATCACCAACATCGTACATTGTAATTTACAAGGACGGACGAACTGGTATGCTTTATTCCCTCGACTGAAAGTCTTCGGTCATACAAACGAAATGTTCGTTTGATCGACCGACAGCTCGCAGTACAATAGCGGCTCCTAAATTAGCGTAAATTAGCGACATATTCATACTCGAGGAGGGAAAACACGTCACTACTACTTTTCTCGGCAGGGAGACATCTCAGATGAGCGAGTCAGAAACAAAAAAATGTCAAAAAAGTAAATTTCACACATTTTTTTCGGCTGATACCAACTTGGCACGTTGTAATTTGTAGGGACGGACGGACTGATATGCTTTATTCGCTTGCCTGGAGGCCTTGGGTCATACAAACGAAATGTCCGTCCGACCGAGCGAGCAAAATTCTCAAAAATCTGGGAGTATTCTGAGAATATTCTTGCATAATTCTACTGTGCTGCACAAAATTCTGCTTTGATTCGCCAAATTCTGAAAATATTTTGCGGAATTCTGATAGGATCGTTTGATACACTGCTTGTTTAGCACTTATTTATTTAATATAAATTTATACTCCGAGTTTTGAAAGATATGGGAAGTTCAGTATCAGCTATACTCTCATACTACTTTCTATCCTATGTCACCGGCGGAGCGGGGAGAACCCATCCAAACAGTAATTATTAAAAGCATAAGTACTTTTCTGAAAACACGATGGAACATCAATGTGTAGTTCATTCATTCTCATACTGCTAGTATTAGAAATGGTGCATCGATTGTGCCACTACACTGCTCCATATTCCATTTTAAATTGATTTCATCCCATATTGGCTTGCCAGGTGACTGGAACAAACGTGTAACACGATGGTGGTGAAATGTTGAAAGATATAATGAAAATGGTATGGTGAATTTGGAATAATGAATACCACACAGCATTTGATCAATTTTATCATTCTTTGTATACTTCTTGTAAATGATGTTTTTTCATTACAAAATTGTATCCTAATCTATCCCATGATCGACTTGTATCATAGTGATGTTGATTATGATGATTAAATTAAGAAAAATAAGTACAGAGAGAAAATGACCAATAGATTTTGGTATCGAAATGATATTTGGATTCATAGAACGAAATGAAATTGAAAATGTGCGTTTCATATCGTAGACTTTACATCGACGTGGCTGTAGGGAGTCCAATGGCACTGTATCATAATCATGAGTAAAACAATCAGTAAATCTCAATACTTGAACCATGACTGAATATGAAATTAAATAGCAATATAAACATAACATATTACTAAACAAGTATAAACCAAAAAAATAAGCTGAACGTAAACAAAATATAAATAATGTTCGTTCACGTAAATGATAACGTTCTTTTTTCCACCATGGACTTAACATACTTCTCAAGTGTAAAATATACCCATGTAAAGGAAAATAAACATATTCACTGAATATTAATGTATATTTAATAATTTTATATTTTGTATAGAATTGTGTCATATTACTTTGTTCAAAATCAACTTTGTATTCATGATATTCCATGTGTTATCGTTTTAATTCAGTAAATGTCCAATAACATGCACCATTTAACCAATCCATCAACACACCAAATCGAAAATTCCATTTGCTCGACCTAAATATGGTACCATGACCAAATTTATGATGCATAAAGCCCGACTATATTAAACTATGTGATAATAAGCATATGCCAATTATTAAATACAAAAGGTTCTGATTCAAGCACAATAATGAAAAATTATTGTATAATAAAGTAAGAAATTCAAGACCTCTATCTACACATTGATGTTCCATCGTGTTTTCAGAAAAGTACTTATGTCTTTGGCGAGAGCACTGCACCGATTGAGAGTCAACTGGATAGAGGTCTTGAATTTCTAGCCAGTTGACGTCATTTTCGGTCAAGCTCTAAAACACTTCCCTATACTCACCTCGACATGAGGAATCCGAATATGAAAGAATAATCTGCTAAAAGTGCAACGGAAAACGAAGAACCGAAGTTTTCTGAAAAATGCGTCTTTTTT